TTTTTAGAATTCTTGTTTAGTTTTTCTTGTTTTTTTGGTTTTCTATTCTATGTCTGGTTTTCTTTATGCTGGGTTTCTCTGGGTTCATTCCTGTAATCCGTCCCTGGAATTCCCAGTCTCCAGGTTTCCTTTAAAGGCTTGTTTTATGTTGCCACACCTGTTTGTTTTCCATCATTCCTTTTGTTTCAGTGGCCCTGCAGGCAGCTGCTCAAGTCTTCCTCCCTTTCTTGCAGGTAAGTACTATGTGTGTTTTCTTTGGTTGGTTTAGCATGCATTAGGCAGAGTAGGACCTGCCAGATATGGGGTACATTGGCATTGTTGGCAGGCTTATGCAATGTATGATCATATAATGTGACTAAATGCCCATGATTTTCATATATAGTACTTGGTTATTTCTCCTCTTGTTTTGTCTATCATATCTTGTCTTGTTTTAGTTTGTATTCCCAGTCCATGTACAGTCCTGTCTTGTCCTGCACATGTTATGTTAATGTTTCCCTAATGTATTGTGTACATGTTCTGGGTTTAGCTTCCTATCCTTCTCTGGTTCTGGGTTCTACTAGTTCTGTCTTGTTTTCATGTTTGGTGACTATCCTAGCCTTGCCTTGTTTCTGTACTGAATACATTCTTGCTGCAAAGCCTCCCTATTCAGCTCCCGGGAGGTCTGCTAACTTCCCAGCTCCTAGCTCTTGGGATCCACAGTAGCTGTATCAGGGACCTGGTATGTGGCCACACAAACGCTGGTGCTCAACACCAGGGGGCGTGTGGTTGCCCTGCACCAGGCCCTGATAATCCACTTCCACGCTGAGACCCAACTTCTCATCAGGCACTCAGGGGTCCCGGTCTCCGTACCACCACCCGTGACAAACACTAATATCACCCTAAAGATACTTCCAGCCCTCCTTCCTCTCTTTAACCTCCTATGGTAAGAACTAATTTTTAAAAAAGTTCTAATTTTTACCCATCAAGTTTTAAGTCCGGTTCTACAGAAGTGTTTGAAAAATGTATTTTAAAAGATCTCGATGAGATCAAAAAAAAAAAAAAATATCAACATCATAACTTATCACGTCAGGAACAAATAGCATTAAAAGAGTTACAGGAAGATGAAAGTATCTTCTTAAAACCAGCAGACAAAGGGGGCGGTTTGGTCATACTTTCCAAAACCACATATATAAATGAAGCACATAGACAACTTAATGATACCAATGTCTATGGAAGATTATCTGCAGATCCTACTATCCCCACTTTTAAAGAAACCCTGAAATCTTTTTTAGAAAATGGTTTGGAATCTAAGATCCTCAAGAAAAGAGAATTTGAATATTTGAATGTAATTTATCCAAAAAATTCCCGTCATTTATTTTTTGCCTATAAATTATAAAATGAGGCCAATCCCCCTGGTAGACCCATTGTCTCTGGGATAGACTCAATATTATTGAACCTTTCAGAATGTATAGACATTCTCTTACAGCCATCAGTCAAACTCATTAGATCATATCTTTGATTGTTTAACAATTTTATTTGGCATCCCGATTACATTTTAGTCACGTGCAATGTACAATCTCTATATACAATCATTCCCCACAATAAAGGTTGTGAAGCAGTTTTTAATATTTTAAAAGCTGAAAACTATATTGAAAAATTACAGATTAATTTTATCATACAAGGTATCAACATTATTTTAACCAACTACTTTTGCATTTTAGACTTTTTTTTTTAAATATAAAACAGGATACAGCTATGGGGACCAGGTTTGCCCTTGTTATGCAAAACTCTTTATGGAGTCAGAGGCAATTTGGAGAGAACATACCTAGAGTGCAAAGCTGGTCACCTACTTCAGATATATTGACGACTTAACTTCACAATACAGAGTAGATGGGCTGATTGGTTCTTAAATGCCATCACATTCTATGTTTCTATGTTTCTAAAGTATTAACTTTTGAGGTTAACATATTTTTATCCACGATGGTACTATAAACACCAAAACATTTTTTAAGAAGGTCTGCACGAATACTGATATTGAGCAAAGATTTTACATCTCCGACGAAATTAGACCCATACTGTAGATTTTAAAGATCAAGCTCAGACACTTAAAGATTATTGTAACGATAAAAATTACAAATTAGAAAATCATAATAAAACATTAGAAATAATTGCACAAAAAGACAAGAAAGAGCTTTAAGAATATAAAGGCAAAGACAAAAAACTATATTCAATTTTAATATAAAAGCAGTATTGTTAAAAAAAATAATCAGAAAACATTTGTATGTATTAAAACATAATGGTGTTTTAAAAGATTTTATTTCAGACATACCCAGCATTGTTTTAGATCCATCCTCACCAATAATTACACAATGTATTAATGATAATATGTCTTTGATATCAAAATCCAAAGTTTTTTTTGAGTGTAAAAGATGCATAGTATGTAAAACTACGGACCAAAGCATAAGATCAAAAACTACACAATTAACCTCCAGCAACACTAACAAATCCTATTCCATCAAAGATCACATCTGTTGCAACACAAAAAAATGTTATATACTTATTGGAGTGCCCCTGTGGCCTCCAATATGTAGGGATGACCTCCAGATGATTAAAGACAAAGTTGGCAGAGCATTGTCGCAACATCATAAAAGAATATATTATTAACCACTCGGTATCCAAACATTTTTTTAAAACATGAAAACATCCTAAATACTTGAAATGTGTTGGAATTCAGAAATGTAAGATACCTTGGAGAGGTGGTGATTTTAGGAAAACTCTTGGTAAACTCTTGATAAAAAGAGTTTTCCTTTTAAAAACTCTTGCTTAAATGTTGACTTTTCAAGTTTTTATAGCAATATATTATTAACATATTCCTTTTTAAATCTGTATTTGTAATATTATTTGTCTTAATTAAATGCTGTTAATAACCCAGCCATGTATACCTTTTTATCCATCTCTTTCCCTTTGAGAACACTACCAGCCATATTTGTCATGGTTCACGGATGGTCAATAGTTTTCACTTGGGTTTGCATGATACATGTCCTATCCTTTTTCTTTCATTACTGTATTTGCATTGATACACCCATGTAGTTTCTCTCATTTGTTGAGTTTCTACCTGGGGTTTGTATGTGTTTTTCTTTTTTCATTTTCCCTTCTATTGGGGTTTTTATTTGCACTTTTTCCCTTTTCTTTTCACCCCTAAGATGGCCACTGCCTTAATATCCCTCCCTTTCCCATTATAACATGGCCATGTATTATTCTCCCCTTTTATACACTTCATTATAAAACTCCAAAAATATGGACACCGCCATAGAGAGACATTTTGTCTTCACACTTCCCTTTCCCATATCCCAGAACTCCAAAAACATGGTTCACACTACAATCCCCGTAATGCACCTCGTGCAGTCACGTGACACAACCTGAAACTTTTTAAATGGCCAGCCGTCACATGATTAATCTTAAACACAATTTTAACATAGTTTAAAGCTTTGTTTTTGGTAGTCAATCATACCAATCAGTCCCTATCAATAGAAACGTATTTGTAAAACTGTTAAAACACTAATTTAAAAAAACAAAAACAAAAAAACCTCAGATGATGACGCCAATTAGGCGCCAATTTCAAATCTGACATGTTTGTATTACCTATAAAAAACCTTACCTGCCAGGTTAGACTTTTTATCTCCACTTGATGAAGCCTTGTTGGTGAAACGTGTTGTGGATATTTTATACTGTGGTGGATATTTTATATTATTTTAACAATTTTAAAAAATAAAGGTATTGTGGCTATTTCCATCTGTGAGTGTGCCATTTTACTTTTTTATTTGTTCTTTTATTTTCTACTGGCATCCATTTTATGTTCCAGTGAGGACCACTCCTAAAGAATACATGGTGGGGATTATACCACTTACACACTATACAGTGAGCAGTTCTCTACTTAATGTGAGTAGCTCTTTGTTATTTCATTCTCCTGGCATTTTTTTTACACAGTGAGCACTATTGTTTTCTCTTTTAAATTTCTTTTATGGTTTACATATTGACAAAACATCTACCTAACAATAAATCATCACGTATTCCCAAGTGGGGATTATACCACTGCATGCTATTCATACTAAAGCTGGTTATAAGCTCTTAAAAATGTGAGTAGGACTATATTAGACTTTTTATACTGGAATTGTCTCCTTCTAGGACATATTGCACTATTAGTTTTTCATTTTGTTTTTACATACGGATGAATACCCTATCTGACACTGTTTTAGAAGAATTATTCTGGACATATTTGAGGCTATAAAACATGCAATATTGGTGTGTAATAAAGTGGCGCTTAAACAAATTGCAGCTAGAATACACTGTGGGATTAATCACGTGAACCCCAACCAAAAAAAACCCCAAGAAATATAAAATAGTGTACAGCGCATAAAACAATATGGAATGTATAACAAATATATCCCAGTGGCCCAAAAGGGTGTGAAGAAGATGAAGAAATTATATTAATATACCCTCTGTTCTGTAGCAGGTATCACTGCAGAAATAAAAAACAGAATACTTTAATAGGGAAATATAATTTCAATAATATATGGAACTGTCACAACTGGAATCTTATGATTATTACACTCACATTTGTCTGAGCCTGTCTACATAACTGGCTCAGGTAATTACAGCTTTGTGGTGTGATGTTGGAATTCCACTGGAGTGTTGAAGGTTACTTAATCCTCAGTAGTAGAAAATAGGAGATGCAAAACCAGTTACAGAGGATATATTAATATAATTTCTTCCTCTTCTTCACACCATTTTGGGCAACTGTGATATATTTGTTATACATTCCATATTGTTTTATGCACTGTACACTATTGTATATTTCATATTTGAGGCTATATCTTCTGGCAAGTTTATTGGGACTTTTATTGGACGTCTTATTATTGTTTATATTGGATTTTTTACATATTGGATTTTTTATATATTTGAACTATACTTTGTCTATTCTGTTTTAGCGCAACCTTATCTCCTCTTTTGTCAAGGCTGATGGAAGTCTGAGGTTCCAGGCTTCTCTCCCCTTCCTGTGTGTGCCTGCTCCTGACATGGCTCTTAGCAAGTGAGAGGAAGTGAGCTGAACTCACTTCCTTCCAGCAGGCCGCAGGGGGAAGCCAACACTGTGAATGCGGTCCAAAATCGTGGGCTATGTGGCCCGCAGGCCATATGTTTGGGAACCCTGCTCAACACCTTTTACTGTAAGATACCCAGCATTAAAAGAGAAATTAAAGGAACACTATAGTCACCTAAATTACTTTAGCTAAATAAAGCAGTTTTAGTGTATAGATCATTCACTTGCAATTTCACAGCTCAATTCACTGTCATTTAGGAGTTAAATCAGTTTGTTTCTGTTTATGCAGCCCTAGCCACACCTTCCCTGGCTATGATTGACAGAGCCTGCATGAAAAAAAAAACTGGTTTCACTTTCAAACAGATGTAATTTACCTTAAATAATTGTATCTCAATCTCTAAATTGAACTTTAATCACATACAGGAGGCTCTTGCAGGGTCTAGCAAGCTATTAACATAGCAGGGGATAAGAAAATCTTAATTAAACAGAACTTGCAATAAAGAAAGCCTAAATAGGGCTCTCTTTACAGGAAGTGTTTATGGAAGGCTGTGCAAGTCACATGCGGGGAGGTGTGACTAGGGTTCATAAACAAAGTGATTTAACTCCTAAATAGCAGAGGATTGAGCAATGAGGCTGCAGGGGCATGTTCTATACACCAAAACTGCTTCATTAAGTTAAAGTTGTTCAGGTGACTATAGTGTCCCTTTAATCTTTATATCAGATACACATTGTAGCTTGCAGAGGATCAAAGTTAATCCAGTTAAAATTTAAGAATGTAAATGTTATAAATATTGTTTTGTTAAGGGGCATTGTTAGTTTCCAGGACTTTTAATATTATGTTTTCTTGTCCCTATGTTTAACAATATTGGCATTAGTTACTAAAATTGTTTATTTTTTATTTATTTATAAAATATTTTACCAGGAAAGATACATTGAGATTTCTCTCGTTTTCAAGTATGTCCTGGGTCCACAAATCATTGCATTGTTACATTAGGGTGCAATAAAATAAAAAAAACAATATTAATACACAATAAATACAAAATGTAACATAGAACAGGTAAGAAATATATAATCAACAGTAAATTTCAAATTTAAGAAAATAGCCAAAATGGAAAATTCTCCGCTCTGAGATCAGCTACTTCATCCCTAAATTTGAAATTCGTTTTATTTTCTCATTTTAGTAAATAACACTGATATTGTTAATCATAGGGGGAAAATTATATACAAATTAAAAGTAATTGGAAGTAACAGGTCCCCTTAAAAAAAAAAAACAACACTCTTTATGTAAACCTCATTCTGAAATATTAACAGAATTGACTGTGTTCCTCTGCAAACTGCAATGTGGGTATGATATTTAAAAAAATCCTCTCTCCTTTAGTGCTGGTTGTCTTACAATAAAAAGCCTACGGCGACCACTGATTTTTCTACTGACTAGAAAAATTATACGTTTCATATCTTGTAACACTCTTCACTTCTAAGAAGGTTCTAAATAGGCTGAAATCGAACTACTTTGAGCAGCTCCAAATCTGCACAGGAGATAATGTATGTACCACGCTATTAGACAGATAACTCTGATATATTTCTTTTATTGCCTTCTAGCCTGAATAGCTGCTGAGGGGAACAGATTTTTAAAGGAAAAGAGCATTTAAACTTACTTAAAGGGACACTATAGTCCCCTGAACAACTTCAGCTTAATTGGGTTTTTCATGTGAGTACAATAGCTCCCTGCAGCCTTTTTCATGTAAACATTGTATTTTCTGAGAATGGCAATCACTCAGACGGCCACCAGAGGGACTTCCAAATTAAGGGCTGCCTAATTCGCATTCATCAAGTTTTCACACAGGCACCGTGAACGCACCTCCTCTGTCCTGTAGTAACTCGGAGCCTGTCAGCAATCAGAGCCGACAGTGTGGGAGAGAATGATCTCCTGCACACAGCGTAGGCTCTGGCTGAAAGGCTGAAGGCAGGAGACCAAGCAGGAGGATGATCTGACTTCAAACCATAAGTAAAAAAAATGAATGAGAGAGAGTGAGTGTGAGAGAGTGAGTGAGTGAGAGTGAGAGAGAGTGAGTGTGGGTCAGAGAATGAGAGAGTGAGTGAGAGAGTGAGCGTGTAAGATTGAGAGAGAGTGAGTGTGGGTGAGAGAGTGAGAGTGAGTGAGAAAGTGTGAGTGAAAGAGTGAGTGTGTGAGATTGAGAGTGAGTGAGTGTCGGTGAGGGAGTTAGTGAGAGAGTGAGTGTGAATGAGTGTGTGAGTGAGAGAGTGAGTGAGATTGAGAGAGAGTGAGTGAGAGAGTGAGTGTGTGTGAGTGAGTGTGGGTGAGAAGTGAGTGTGGGTGAGATAGTTAATGTGTGTGAGATTGAGAGAGAGTGAGTGTGGGTAGGTGAGTGCGTGAGATTGAGAGAGAGTGAGTGTGGGTGAGAGAGTGATTGAGATTGAGAGAGAATGAGTGGCGGTGAGGTGTGGGTGAGAGAGTGAGTTAGAGAGTGAGTGTGTGAGATTGAGAGAGAATCAGTGTAGGTGAGGAAGTGAGAGTGAGTGAGTGTGTGAGATTGAGAGAGAGTGAGTTTGGGTGAGAGAGTGAGTTATTGAGAGTGAGTGAGTTAGAGAGTGAGTGTGTCTGATTGAGAGAGTGAGTGTGGGTGAGAGAGTGAGTGAGAGATTGAGAGAATGAGATTGAGATAGAGTGAGTGTGGATGAGAGAGTGAGTGTGAGAGTGAGAGTGTGAGTGTGGATGAGAGAGTGAGTGAGGGAGTGAGGGAGTGTGTGAGATTGAGAGAGAGTGAATGAGAGAGAGAGAGTGAGTGAGAGAGTGAGTGTGTGAGATTGTGAGAGAATCAGTGTGGGTGAGGAAGTGAGAGTGAGTGTGTGAGATTGAGAGAGAGTGAGTTTGGGTGCGAGTGAGTTATTGAGAGTGAGTGAGGAAGTGAGTGAGTGTGAGAGATTGAGAGAGAGTGATTGTGGGTGAGAGAGTGAGTGTGTGAGATTGAGAGAGAGTGATTGTGGGTGAGAGATTGAGTGAGAGATTGAGAGTGAATGAGACAGTAAGAGAGTGAGTGAGTGAGATAGAGAGAGACAGTGTGGTTGACAGAGTGAGTGTGTGAGATTAAGAGAGGGAATGTGTGAGATTGAGAGTATGTGTGGGTGAGTGACTGTATGTGGGTAAGAGAGTGAGAGATAGTGAGTGTCAAAGTGTGAGTGAGAGAGAAAGAGTGAGTGAGAGAGTGAGTGTGTGAGATTGTGAGAGAATCAGTGTGGGTGAGGAAGTGAGAGTGAGTGTGTGAGATTGAGAGAGAGTGAGTTTGGGTGCGAGTGAGTTATTGAGAGTGAGTGAGGAAGTGAGTGAGTGTGAGAGATTGAGAGAGAGTGATTGTGGGTGAGAGATTGAGTGAGAGATTGAGAGTGAATGAGACAGTAAGAGAGTGAGTGAGTAAGATAGAGAGAGACAGTGTGGTTGACAGAGTGAGTGTGTGAGATTAAGAGAGGGAATGTGTGAGATTGAGAGTATGTGTGGGTGAGTGACTGTATGTGGGTAAGAGAGTGAGAGATAGTGAGTGACAAAATGTGAGTGAGAGAGAAAGAGTGAAGGATTAGAGTTGGCCGATCCCGAACTGTAAAGTTCGGGTTCGTACTGAACATTACGATTTTTTTTTACCCCGAACCCGGACATTTCAGTAACAGTTCGGGTTCGAGTTTGGTATTCGGCGATTTAATAGCGCGTTTTGTAAAGCTGCAGGTCAGCCAATCAACAAGTGTTTGACAAAACTGCCGAATTGCGTCCTAACAGAATGAGAAAAGTTTCTCCATTCGTGTTTGAACACAATTCGGGACTTTGTTCGGATCGCAGTTTCATTTGAATGAATGAAATGAATGAAACTCCAATCCTATTCATTGCGGCGGCTGTATCTTGCAGCCGCTTAGTAGATAACTCCCTAATTCCCACGGTATCAGGGAGCTATCTACCAAAAGGCTAAAGGACCTAAATTGGTCTTTCAGCCACATTTACTAATACTAAGTAAAGATTACTTAGTATTAGTAAATTTAGCACCTACTTGCTATACTGCGAGTAGGGGCATGTCTAGTAAACAGTGAGCAGCCTGAATGGCGGGTGGGGGCCCTAAAGTAAAATAAGGGGGGTGGACCTATTGTCCTCCCCCTGGCCCCTACCCCTGAGTGGTGGGTGGGGGCCCTAAATAACAATGAGGGGAGGGGACCTACAGTCCTCCCCCCGGCCCCACCCTTTATTCTAATTTAGGACCCCCACCCACCGCTCAGGGTGGTAGGTCCCCCCTCATTGTTATGTATGGCCCCCACCCGCCACGCAGGGGTGGGGGCCGGGGGGAGGACAGTAGGTCCCCCCATCATTCTTATTTAGGGCCTCCACCCACTGCTCAGGGGTGGGTACGGGGGGGGGAGGACAGTAGGTCCCTCCTCATTGTTATTTAGGGCCCCTACCCACCGCTCAGTGTCCTCCCCCCTGGCCCCCATGCCTGAGCAGTGGGTGGGGGCCCTAAATAAGAATAAGGGGGGACCTAATGTCCTACCCCCTGGCCCTCACCCCTGAGTGGTGGGTGGGGCCCCTAAATAAAAATCTGGGGGGGACCTAATGCCCTCCCTCTGGCCCCCACCCCTGAGCGGTGGGTGGGGGCCCTAAATTAGAATAAGGGGTGACACCTAATGTCCTCCCCCCTAGCCCCCACCCCTGAGCAGTGGGTGGGGGCCCCAAATACCAATAAGGGTAATAGACATGCCCCTACTCGCAGTATAGCGAGTAGGGGCATAATTTACTAATACTAAGTAATCTTTACTTAGTATTAGTAAATTTGGCTGAAGGACCAATTCAGGTCTTTCAGCCTTTTAGTACATAGCTCTCTAATACCTTGGGAATTAGGGAGTTATCTACTTATTCATTCCTGTAATTACATTGACTGGCCAAGTCATGGCTATTTTTGTATACTTTTTATTTAAAATTGTATACAGTGTAAAATTCTTCTTCCACTGGGTATGTATATTAGTACTTAGGCAATACATTTTACTTCCTTTTGAAGCCCTCTAGCCCTTTCCAGGACTTTTTTAGAGCCATTTTAGTGCCCAAAAGTTCGGGTCCCCATTGACTTCAATGGGCTTCGGGGCTGAAGTTCGGCCAAACGGGGTGTCCGCTCAATTCTATGAAGGATGGATCCATCCCTCTCTATCCAGGTGTCCGCTCAATTCTATGAAGGATGGATCCATCCCTCTCTATCCATTCATCCCTCTCTACCCAGCCATCCATCCCTCTCTCCATCCCTCTCTATCCATCCATACCTAACTACACATCCACCCCTCTCCATCGATCCATCCCTCCGTATCCATTCATCCCTCTCTATCCATCCACCCCTCTCTATCCATCCCTCTCTCCCTCTCTATCCATCCTTCCCTCCCTATCCATCCCTCCCTCCCTCTCTATCCATCCATCCCTCCCTCTCTATCCATCCATCCCTCTATCCATTCATCCATCCATCCCTCCCGATCCATCCCTCCCTATCCATCGATCCATTCATCCATCCCTATCTATGCCTATCCATCCACCCTTCTCTCTCCATCCATCCATCCCTCCCTCCTTTATCCATCCATCCATCCATATTTTTCTTTTGAGAGTAAGAATACACTGGAATACCGGCACCGGTATGAAGAAAGACAGGGATAGGAAGCTACATCTTATCCCTGCTTCTCTCTCCTGACTGAAACCGCAGAGGCACAGCACAGAATGCATCCAGAAACTCCCAGACTGCAGAGACAGCCTACAGATCAGGTAAGTGAGGGATGGAGGGGCAGCCTACAGTTCAGGTAAGTGAGGGATGGGGGGGCAGCCTACAGACCAGGTAAGTGAAGAGGCAGCCTACAGATCAGGTAGGTGAGGCATGGGGGGCAGCATACATATTAGGTAGGTGAGGCATAGGGGGGCAGCCTACAGATCAGGGAAGTTAGGGATTGGGGGCAGCCTACAGATCAGATAAGGGAGGCATGGGGGGCAACCTACAGAATAGGTAAGTGAGGCATAGGGGGGAAGTCTACAGATCAGGGAAGTGAGGGATTGGGGGGCCAGCCTATAGATCAGATAAGGAAGGCATGAGGGCAACCTACAAAATAGGTAAGTGAGGCATGGGGGGCAGCTTACAGATGAGTTAAGTGAGGGATGGGAGGCAGCCTACAGATCACGTAAGTGAGGGATGGGGGAGGTAGCCTACAGATCACTTAAGTGAGGGATGGGGAGGCAGCCTACAGATCAGGTAAGTGAGGGATTGAGGGCAGCCTGCAGATCAAGTAAGTGAGGGATGGGAGGGGAGGGGGGCAACCTACAGATCAGGCAAGTGAGGCATGGGGAGTGGAAGCCTACAGATCAGGTAAGTGAGAAGGCAGCCTACAGATCAGGTAAGTGAGGGATGGGGGGGGCAGCCTACAAATCAGGGAAGTGAGGCATTGGGGGGTGCAGACTACAGATTAGGTAAGTGAGGCATAGGGGGCAGCCTACAGATCAGGTAAGTGAGGGATGGGGAAGCATACAGGAAGGGTCAGCAAGGAGCAGGAAGGTAAAGTAGGAGATGGAGCAGAAAGGAGAAGGAACATAAATGAGCAGAAAGGGACATCAAGGAGCAGAAAGGGTCAGCATCGAGCTGGAAGGGACAGCAAGAGCAGAAAGGTAAAGTAGGAGAAGGAGCAGAAAGGAACATAATGCAGGAATGGGCAGCAAGGAGTAGGAAGGGTCTGCAAGGAACAGGAAGTGTCTGCAAGGAGCAGAAAGAGTCAGCAGGGAGCAGAAAGGTAAAGTTGGAGAAGGAGCAGAAAGAGGCAACAATGAGCTGGAAAGGACAGCAAAGAGCAGAAAAGGGCAGCAAGAAGCTGGAAGGGGCAAAAGGATCACAAAGGTAAAGTATGAGAAGGGGCAGAAAGGAACAGAAATTAGCAGGAAGGGGCAAGCAAGATGCAGAAAGGTTTTGCATAAAGCAGGAAGGGTCTGCAAGAAGCAGGAAGAGGCAGCAAGAAGTAGGAAGGGGCAGCAAGAAGCAGGAAGGGGCAGCAAGGAGAAGGAAGAGTTTGCAAGGAGAAGGAAAGGTCTACAAGGAGCAGAAAGAGTCAGCAAGGAGCAGGAAGGGGCAGAAAGGAGCAGGAAGGGGCAGCAAGGAACAGTAAGGGTCTGCAAGAAGAAGGAAGGGTCTGCAAGGGGCAGGAATGACAAAAGGAGCACAAAGGTAAAGGAGCAGAAAGAATCAAAAGGAGCACAAAGGTAAAGTAGGAGAAGGAACAGAAGGGGCAGCAATGAGCTGGAAAGGACAGCAAAGAGCAGAAAAGGGCAGCAAGGAGCTGGAAGGGGCAAAAGGAGCACAAAGGTAAAGTAGGAGAAGGGGCAGAAAGGAGCAGAAATTAGCAGGAAGGGGCAGCAAGGAGCAAGAAGGTGCAGCAAGGAGCAGAAAGGGTCTGCAAGAAGCAGGAAGTGTCTGCAAGAAGCAGGAATAGGCAGCAAGAAGCAGTAAGGGGCAGCAAGAAGCAGGAAGGAGAAGGAAGTGTTTTCAAGGAGAAAGAAGTGTGGCAAAAGTAACCTCGCCACTGGTTTTTGGAGGGGACTGAATGCCAGCCTTATGCCTTGGAACTATGGCCCCTAGGAGATTGTACACTTTAAAAACAGCATTGGGGCTTATGGATTTGTATTGGACCGTGCTGGCCCTTTAAGAACCATTTGGGATATATTGAGACTTTGTGTGACAATGTTCCTTTAAGACTATGTCCCCAGACCTTTAAAATCCTTTGTTCCTGGCTTTCTCCCACTTGGGTCAGTAAATGGGGCTTACTGAACCAAGTAACACACAGGCGGACCACCCAGAAGTGGAAGTGTGCAGGCAATTTACCTCCCAGGCTGGGAGGCTGCTGTAGGTAAATTACCGACTGCCGGGGGGGGAGAGGGGCGGTGTGTGCAGACAAATTCATGGAACTGAAATCGGCTACACATTTAGCTGAACACCGCTGACCCTTACCTTCTCCTCCACTGAGTTTTCAGCCACAGAGACTAAGTCCGGTTCGGCAATTCGAATGCACGTTCAAATAGGACTTAGTCATTTTTTCAGTGTGAAATTAACCGACCGCACAGCCCAAATCTATGGAACTGTTTTGAGCAGGAAAACGTGCTTGCGGTCAGTCACAAAAGGACTTGCGTCTAACTTTTTATCTACTGGAGGGATTTGTATGATTTTTGAGAGTTTTCACATTTGAAGTATGCTGATTAAGAATATGTAATTTTTGAAGATTGAACGTATAGTTTTAAAGTTACAGTATATGTGTAAAAAGTATATTTTTCCTGCCTGTGATAATTACTTTAACCCATTGTGTTCAGTAATTATATCACAGGCAGAGGGGAGGATTTTGTGGGAATGAATGGGAGTGCTTTACTATATATTATGTGTTTGATTGGTTGTTTTTCAAAACCCTGTGGGCGGTACTATGTGTGTAAAATGTGCATAAAAGCAGAGTGTTTCATTAAAACTTCAGTTCTTCTTCACCCTCAATCTAGAGTCCTGTCTCTTATTGGGGGTAACTGGCTATATCACTACAAGGGATTGCTATGCTCTGCATGCTCCCTTGAATAATCACTTCTAAGCTCACTTCTAAGAGCTTGTTCCTACTTCACTCTCTTGGAGGAGAGGTTTGCCCACTGGAATCTGGAGCCTTATCAGAGGTCCAGGGTGGGCAGAAGACAGCGAGACCCAAACCAAGCTACGGCGGTTCGTGGGGTCTGCGGTGGTTGTGGTGTCTGGTGAGGGCGCTTGGAGCCCTCTGGAAGCACTAGGAGCATCCAGTAACAGAGGTACCCAGTCGGGGTGCCAGGTGATCCATTACAGGTCTGCAAAGAGCAGAAAAAGTCAGTAAGGAGCAGGAAGGGGCAACGAGGAACAGTAAGGGTCTGCAAGAAAAAGGAAAGGTCTGCAAGGGGCAGGAATGACAAAAGGAGCACCAAGGTAAAGGAGCAGAAAGAATCAGAAGGAGCACAAAGGTTAAGTAGGAGATGGCGCAGAAAGGGCCAGCAAGAGCTGAAAAGAACAGCATGGAGTATAAAGGGGCAGGAAGGCGCTGTAAGGGGCAGAATGAGTGCAAAGGTAAAGTAGAAGAAGGAGCAGAAAGGTATATAAATGAACAGGAAGGGGCAGCAAGGATCAGGAATGGGCAGCAATAAGCAGGAAGGGTCTGCAAGGAGCAGGAAGGGCAGCAATAAGCAGGAAGGGGTGGCAAGGAGCAGGAAGGGTCTGAAAGGGGCAGGAAAGGACAGAAGGAGCACAAAGGTAAAGGAGTAGAAAGAATCAGAAGGAACACAAAGGTAAAGTAGAAGAAGGAGCAGAAAGGGCCAGCAAGGAGCTGGAAAGGGCAGCAAGGAGCGCAAAAGTAAAGTAGGAAAAGGAGCAGAGAGGAATAGAAATGAGCAGAAAGGAACAGAAGAAGCAGGAAGGTAAAGGAGCAGAAAGAATGAGAAGGAGCACAGAAGTAAAGTAGGGGAAGGAGCAGAAAGGGCAGCAAGGAGCAGGAAGGTAAAGTAGGAGAAGGAACAGGAAGGAGAAGGAGCAGAAATGAGCAGGAATGGACAGCAAGGAGCAGAAAGGGGCAGCAAGGAGCTGGAAGGGGCAGAAGGAGCACAAAGGTAAAGTAGGAGAAGAAGCAGAATGGGTCTGCAAGGAGCAGAAAGGGATCAAAAAGAGAAAGGAGCTGAAGGGCGCAAAAGAAGCAGAAAGTAGCAGAAAGGTAAAGAAGCCAAGGAGGTGAGAAGACAGTGTCAGAAGAGTTAGATGACTGTGTCAAATGAAGAAGAAGAAAAGGAGATTTGAGCAAGTAGGACAAGTGATCCCTCCACTTTATTCTGGATACCTCATCATAAGGCTTTGGAACCTTGGCCTGGCAGGAAAACTTTGGACCTTCTCATCTTTCCAGGTAAAAACAAATCTCAGTGTTAATGTATCTTTTATTTACTGAGTGTCAGGAAGCACAGAGTGCCGTAGGGTAGGGGTGTCGCTGATTGGCTAGAGCGGTCAGCTGGCACTCTGAGCTAATCAGTAACTCCCCATTCACAAAAAGTAAAACATTTTTATGAACCGGGAACTAGCAATTGACTTAGAGCGTCAGCTGACTCTAGCCAATCAGTGGCACCCATGCCTGATGTCAATCTGCACTTCCTGACACTCTGTTTTAGAAGCTGAATACCACTGAACGACCTGGAGATCTGGAGCTGGAGGAAGTCTTTGGGGTTAAACCATTTGAGAGAGGTTTAACCCCTTAAAGGAAAGAGAGCACCCAGGGGCCTCCTGGCATCATAGTATTTTCATTTAGATTAAGTTGTTATGGTGACCAGAATGTTCCTTTAATTTGATTAAAGGAACACTATAGTGTCAGGAATACATACATGTATTCCTGACATCATAGTTGTGAAAACGCTATTTACCCTGGCTTTATGTGATAATGACTATGCCCCTCCCCTTCATGACACTGCCAAAAAGGGGCCAAACATGGATGTCATTATAATTATGCCCCCCCCCCCCTGGAAAAATTCCTGTGGGCTCCCATGGATGGATGGATGTATAGAGAGAGATGGCTGGATAGAGAGGGATGGATGGATGGATAGGGATGGATATGAATG